GATTGTATCAGTGCCTAGAATGTGGCCCTAGAAGTCTTCCTGTGTAAAGGCTGATTTAAAAATGAGTAAAGAATTCAGGATTTGGTCTAGTGTTTGCAATAATGCTGTTTTCCAATAACATTGTTGAAACTGCACTATGACATTGGATAAGTTGTTCTTTCTTTCTTTCTTTCATCGTCAATCACTTAAAAATGCTTTATACCAATTACCAGACCAAACCTTTTTAAATATAGAGTTACGGCAGTGGTGGGCAACCTGCAGCCTGCATGCAGCCCATCAGGGTAATCTGATTACAAGCCGCAAAACATTTTGCTGACGTTGACCGTCTGCAGGCACAGCCCCTGACCGTTCCCAGTGGCTGTGGTTCACCATTCCCACCCAATGGGAGCTGCGGGAAGCAGCAGGCCACAGGGACATGGTGGCTGCCGCTTCCCACGGCTCCGATTGACCAGGAACGGCAAACTGTGGCCACTGGGAGTTGCAGGGGGCCGTGCCTGCAGACGGTCAACATCAGCAAAATGTCTCGCAACCTGCAATCAGATTACCCTGATCGGCTACATGCAGACCGCGAGCCACAGGTTGCCCACCACTGAGTTAGGGTTATATATATATATAACTCTATCTATATATATATATATATAAATATATCTATCTATATATTAATCATTATTAAATGATTGATATATAGATAGATATAGATAGATAGATATAATTTAAACATTTAATATCAAAAGAATACTGTATTTGAATATTATAAATGAAATACTTGAAAGTTTACAAATTCATAGATAATGTTTGACACACATCATTAACTCCACACTTGAATCTCCATATATAGACAGCATAAAAAAATTAAATATGAAACCCATAAAATAACCCTTCCATAATTTTAATTATCCACATCCACAATCTATATAATTATCAACAAGCAACCTTAACATATTAACTCATATACACATATTCCATATATAAATTGTAAAAATCAACCAAATCTTGCAATTATTAATAATATAATTATTATAGAAAACACCAGTGAAAATAGATAGCACATTAATATAAAATCTTTGACTTGTGTAACTAAGTGCCATGCATTTAGAAAATACAATAGCTTAGACATATAACACTGTAAGAAAACACAAGATCAGTCTGGCTTAAATGCTGTTCATTATAGCAAATGAAAGACTGCTAATACAAAATATTAGTACTAAATAATCTTTTTAAGAAAAAGGTTGCACATCATTTTATATCTTAATTGCACGAGCAATGGAGAGTATATCTTAGTAATTTTAACCCTTGGTGTTCATAGTGCAAGGGTGCCATATTTAAACTGGTATACACTTTTTAAAATGCAGTCCATCTGTTTCAGTAGAGAATCAAAATTTAGTAGAGAATCAAAACCATTAGGCATGAATTATTTTAGTCAGTGTCGATTACTGGAGCAACATAGTATTTTTTCAGTCAAACTTGAATTAGCTGAAGAGTTCTCACTGGCTGACTTGGCTCATCACCAGGAACCAGACTATTACAATGAGTTTTAAGTACCAACACAAGACTCAGAGCTAATGAATAATAAAGAAATGTGCATGTTGTTCTTTGTCACTAAGTGTTACCAAATCCCCCCAGATACCTATACAGGGCTAAACTATGGAGCAACAGCATTTTATGAATCCACCAGCATATATTAATTCCACAGGATTTTAAAATTGAATGAAAGAAAACTTCAGACGGTATTGATCATTAATTACAGGGTGGAAAAAGATCAAGTTCTCTGTCATTAAATTGCTTCTACAGAACCACAGCACTGTGCAGACATCAGCATCATTAAAAGCAGTGAGTCCAGCTAGGAGCCATGTTTCTTGATGCATGTACACAAAGTGACAAGATTCTGTCTGTAAAGCTGGCACATCATTCATATTCCCTTCACTACTTGTTTTTTCTATCACCAGATCCTGGAACTTCCAGTGCTCATAATGGGGCAAATCTTCAGCTGGTATAAACTATCATAGCCTCATTAACTTCAGTGAAGCTGTGACAGTTTACATTAGCTAAGAAGTTGCTCCCAGTTCTGTAGCTATATATAGATATATATTATAGCCTTCATATTTTACATGTAGTAAATCTGTCCAGGTATTACTACCATCTTTAGAGTAAGATGCTTCCAGCTGCTGATTTACTCCCTAGCAAAAATAAGCTTTCACAGCTGTGACTTGGGAGAGTCCACAGCTTTCAAAGCAGCACCACATGTTATGTTTCTCACATGACATCATGGTTGTTGGTTTCTGTTACAATCAACAGAAGGTATTCTTCATTGAGGAATTTAGGCCTCATCCAGGTGGCCTAGAAGGTGAAGAACTTAATTTGCCCTTCACCAAGACAAAGATAATACCTTGGCTAAAATGGAGGAGACGAGATTCAGCCATATTTCTGGGTTTGACTGAACCAATTAATAAGCCCCAGATGGAGCTACCACACTATCAGTTGCATTAGAGACATTTTCCTTATTGTCCATTGTGGTTGTCATTAGCTCCTCTTGTAAAACCATTAGCCCGTTTCCTCCCTTTCTGACATTCCAACATGTCGTGTTAATACGACCTTAAATTGACCCTTCTCATAAGTGACTGTTAGGATATATTTCCTAATCTTTATCAAAGGAAACTGTTACAGTGACTCACAGAGGCCAGGATTTCTTTTCCCATTATCTTTTTATTCTTAAATATTATCAGGAAGCTTCTTGGCCCATTCTAGACTTTGGAAGTTTGAACAGATTTCCAAACAGATCTTATTCTTTCAATCATTTCAATGCCACAATCCCTTTGCCTTTTTCCTGAACTCTGATTTGATGCGCTTGGCCTTTGAGATGCTTGCTTCTACACGTTAATTCAAAAATTACACAGGAAGTATCTTTGCTTTCTGATGGTGATGTAGGTTTTTACCAAAAGCCTGTCCATGGTAGCTACAGGTTTATCCGTACTTAAAATGACGATTCATGTGAATAATGACACAATCCAAGCAGTGATACAGACATGTCTGTATATTTTTCTGGGTCTATTGAGTAGAATGGAGAAATCTTCATTCATTTTAGTTTCTTACTTCCATAGTGACAGCCCTCTACCCACAGCATCAGCATCATCCCCAGAAAAGCATTTTGAGGGTATTCAAAGAAGAGATGAGCATTAAGTGTCAAGATTGGCACCAGGATTACAGGCAAAAGAGGCAGATATGAATCAAGGAAGGAGATACAGATGTATCTGAGAATGTGTCTTTTGCCTAAGAAGAGCACTTCTCTCTCTGATATGTTTAGCTTATTTGTGTATTCGATTTTGTGAGTCATTCATCTGGCATTGGCAGTTTCCCTTCATCTAATCTGAAGAATGCAGATAATGCTAGAAAGTTTAGAAGCTATTTTATACTAGCTTCAATATAGCCTCTAAGAGCAGCTTGTGTGTAGGACTGAGTTATTCTTAGACTTTCCATTAGCCATTCACTTATTAGGAGAAACAAATTCTCTAGAGAACTCTCTTTCAACTCTGTGAAGTGGGACCAATATGAGTGGTGTAACTCAACGATGGGCATGCTTGCTAGGGCCAGCCGAAGATTAATCTACTTGCATTGAGATCAACAGCAAATGGTACTGGTTTTGTGCTAAGCTAGGCAGAAGCTAAAGAGCACTATTGGATTCCTTCTTGCTGACTGGAAAATTTATTTCCTCATCCACAAGGTACTTTTCAGTTGAGACAAGAATGAGGCCACCTGTGGCTCTGGCTTGTGTTGCCTACATCTGCTGCTCAGATCTTCTAATATCCTTTTCCAAAGGGTTAGGTAGTGCAGCCTCCTGATTCTAATTTTTTTTCCTGACACTGGTTTCTGAGTTCCATCCTTTTCAATAACCTTTTCATCTGTTTTTTTCTTTAGGCTCCAAAGTTCTTCTGGGACAACAATTTCACAAAAAAACAGATATTTAGGGTGCACTCAGTTTTTACATTAAAATAGAGTCTTTCAATCATTTCTGGTGCCTCTTTGTTACTCCTGGAGAAAAGTCCATAGCAGATTTGATCTTGATATTTGATCATTCACATAGATTACTAAGTGTGTTGCATTTTCTATCAAAAGGCTCGCTTGTATGTACCATATAAGAAAGACTCAAGTCATTCTCTACTAGCCATCCCCCATCGATTTTGTTAAATATACACTCATCACTATTGTCATAGCATTCTTCTTTCTGGGCAAGGAGAGGTGGGTGGCATTATCACTGTAGAATATCAATACTTTTGCAAAGTCAGGCAGATGGATCATCAGAGTAGCAAAAGGTACACTTTCCACAAAGGAGCACTGGTGATGCCTCTGTAACATTCCAAGCTTCATGCAGGCTGAGAAGCAAAAGATCAGACCCAAAGATTTAATTTGGGTCTTTCACATGATAAAACAAGGTACTAATCGAGGAGTCAGTGAGCCATCCAATTAGTTTGTTTACTTTATAATTTATTAGTTACATTGAAAATATTTTTGTTTTTGCCAGTGAATCATCATAAGACCTTATCTATACATAATAATTAATAATAATATGTTTATATAGTTAGTTAAGTACTCCCTTTCGATAAGGTTTCTCTTTTAAGTTCATATACACTGAATTCTATTTAGGAATTCCTTCATTTTTATCCATTAGGACACATTCTACACATGCATTTTGCACGCATTATAATTGTTAGAGGTTTCAAATGGCATTCACTGGAAATGGAAGATGGAGAAATGTAATCCTATAGCAATCTGCCTAATAAAGGATGCAAAAGTATTGCATTTTAATGTTCATCAATAATGCTGGAATATTGTTTCCTCTGTTATTATTTATGATTCTAATGCATGTTTGTGTATTCCATCGGGCTTTTATGATTGTTTCACTGCATGCATTAATTAAAAATATATTCTTAGGAGAACGACAATAGTCTCTTTAGTTGAATTTTACATATTTTATGGAAATATGTTTATTGTATCTCTTTATGCAGGTTTGTGTTCCAGATGAATATAATGCAATATTAGGAAGAAGTGCAAATAAGCAAGTATTTGAAGGTTTAACAACTGGACTTCTCAGAATCATTGCTGTGGTCTTTAGGTATCTGATTTCCAGTCTACCAGATGTAAACAATCAGCCCACTGCACCCAAAATAATACAGGAAGTCAAAAACAAGCCCTCAAAAGTTGAGGCCTTTAACACCAGGGTTCAGGACCTGATCAGGTAAAAACTGATGAAATATCTTTAAACTTTTTTTTTATTTTAGTAAAAGGAAATTGCAGAAACTAGCAATGGTAATAAGCTCCTCTGAACCCTAACTCAATAAGACTAGCACCTATGTATGGTTCAGAAGACCACTCAAAGGCTATATATATGTTTTCAAGCAAAAATGCTCTTTCAGAAAACGATGGGACAAATTCTGACCTCAAATATACATGTACACTGAAGTCCATAGAGATTTGTGCCTTTATCTAAGTGAAAAATTTGGCCCTGTGATTGTCCAACTTTCTCTTCTGATGTGGAGAAGTTCCCCAACCACAAAATATCTCCTTATTGACACAGGAGTAAGTAAAATTTACTGCAATAATATCACTGTCAATAAACATAGAATAAAGGCAACTAATGTACAGAAAGTCAGAACAGGTTTTCATGGAGAATATAAAATATTCTCCAAATTATGATAAATCTCTTTTTGAAAAATGCTACTGTTTGCTCTTAATTGCTGCTCTTGATTATTGTTTCTATATGTTAAGTACTCGCTACAGTACAGAAAGAAAGTAAATGGTAGGACTTTCCATAGCTTTCTTTCATATATGAATTATTCCTGTATTTGCTAGTAATTTACATTATACACTTGAGCATTTGTCTTTTATTCCCTGTAGAAATTTGTTTCTCTCAGTGATGTCTGAAATGTCTTCTTTTTTCTTCTTCTTTCTTCTTCTTTTTTTTTTTTTAATCATGTAGGCTTAAAGCACCTCACAGGATCAGTCCACTAGTTTGTTTAACTGTGTTGGATTAACACTGCCAGAATTCTGCCTTTGCATATACATGTTTCCTTTATGTCAGTGGGAATCCTTGTATTATTTGATTGACTGTTCTTTGTGTCATTTTTTCTTAAATAAAGGTGACCAGAATTTTGCACAGTAAAAAGTCCTCTAGTCCATAGTTAGCAACTCTGTACACGGATCCTTACATTATTTTTATATAATATTTTTTGATTCCCAACAGTATACAAAACACAACATAAACACAGTCCCTAGCTATAAGAGTTTACAGTATAAAAACAGACACAGATAAGACAACAGGAGACTTAGAGATCAATAGTGTTGCTTTGTTTTTTAATATACAGTATGATTTGCCTTTCTTTTACTGGGCAAAAGCACTGAAGTCCCATATTTATCTCTTTTAATACTGACTATACAATCGTTACAGGTACAATACATTGTTCTTCATTGAACTTTTTGTTCTTACTGTCATCACTTCATATTTATCTACATTTACTTTCAAAAGTTCCTGATTCATCCACACGCAGAGTCTATCCATGTTATTCTGAACTATCCTGCCCTTCTTCTTTCTGTTGATTCACACATTCTTTCTTAGTATTATTAGCAAGTTTCATCACAATGCTATATGTTCGTTCTTCTAAGTCATTAAATAAAGTGTTCTAATTAGTCCTAGTATTAATCCTTGTTGCACTCAACTACTCACCTCCTTCCATCTTGGGTAGTCATTATTCCTAATTTCTTCTCTTTGATATCTAAGGAATTCTTTACTTACTCAGGACACTCCCTTAGTGAACTTTAACAGGATTAGCCTTTGGTATGTTACTATATAAAAAGCTGTTTTAGAACCCACTCCTGCCAGGTGGCAAGCACTCTCAATTCTCACTGTTTTCAGTGGGAGTCAAGGACAGATAGGGTTGGACCCTTAATAATTAGATAGCATTGGAGTAAGCTAAGGACATTATTTAATTCCATTTTACTTTTTCAACTCTATGAGGTATGCCAGGTGTGATCATCTTTTTGAAAATCCAGGCTGATTATTGACTAGCCTCAATTAAACCATAACATTCTTGATGTCTCGCTAGGTAGTCCCTGGTTACTGGTTTCATTATGTCCCCCTCGGGTCTGTACTTTTCTAGATCTTCATAAATCTCTTCTCAGATCATAGTGTTACATTAGTCTCCTCCAAGTCCAGTACCTCTTATGTTTCCTTAGAGGTTTCAGATCAATTTGCTAATGGGTATCCTATCTCTTTCTCTTTTGGAATAGACTCTGTGTGGGCCTAGATTTTAACAGTCTACAGATCTTCTAATTTCATGGTCTCTTCTTCTGCCGAGACCCTGATTTCTTCTTATATTTTTTTCTCCCTTGGGGAATTTGTTCTGAGCATCTGTCTTTTAACCTTTTTTGTGAGCTCATGAGGCAAAGGATACATTTAATTTTTCATTAAGGCCTACCTCTTTAGTTAATAAATTACCTTTTTCATCTCACAGAGCCTGCCTGTCTCCACCACTGACCTCTTGTTCCTTATGCACTTGAAAAAATTGTGATTTCTCCTCTTCAATATTTTTTCAGTTTTAGTACACTTTACTTTAATGTGTGTTCGTGCAGACTTTCTCTATACTTTGCATTTTATATATGATATTTCATAATATAACTCTTTCTTACCCTTAATTACTCTTTGCACTTCCTTGTTCATCTCCACTGAGTATATTTAGTGGCACACACAACATTTGGGTCGACAATAATTTATCTTTCTGCACTTTCCTTTTGCTTTTTATTTCCTTGCCCTCAGTTGTTTTATCCTATTTAATTTCAGTAATCATTTCTCTTTTTTCTCATAATTCCATGTGCTAAAACACAAATATGTACATATTTACACATACATATTTGTGTGGGGGGAGATAGGTATAAATATATACCCACACAAACCATATTTTAGGATGGTTGGTATCACCGTCTATTATTATTAAGGTTGCCTGACACATCCCAATATAAGACCCTGCTTTAAATTGCTTATAACTGTGCCATACTTGAACCATTTGGGTTGAAATTTTCCATACCAGGTATCTGTCACATGCTGAATTGTTCTGGAAAATTTCAGCCCAAATGGTTCAGCCATTTCCAAGAAAGTGGTTTGGGGAAAATATGTTGTTTTGACCATGTTAAAATATTCTGGCAACCTTTTCTTTGGGAAGTTCTGGTGCCGCCTTCCTTTGGTGCAGTGACTTGAAATTTGGCAGGTGGGAAACCTTTAAAAACTGTAGCTTGCCCATGCTCTGTAGCAGCTTACTAGAACTTTGCAGCTTAATTCTCTGAACATTCTGTCTGCACTGGGCATGCCCCAGCCTGAGGCAACAGGGGACTGAGCAGGACGTTCCCTGTAGTTGCCGCTCTGGGCTGCTGGGGCTGTGCCAGAGCTGGGCACCAGAACAAAGAGTAGGAGAGCCTGTCTCGCCTGTTCTCTTAAAGCCCCCTCTACTGATGGGCAGGAGGAGAGGAGAAAGCTGCCTGAATGGAAAGCAAAGGGGACAAAAGCCAGACCTGGGGGATTCTGGCATTTTAAAGTTTTTGAAACCTTAATAATGTTTTTTAACATAGTTTGTGTGTTACATAAATGCGCATACACACACACTATAGATTATATAGAATGACCCCGTTTTTAATTTCAATTCAGTCATAATGTCATATATCACTATCAAAGGCATACGATGTTTTCTCATCTTTACATCGGTGATTTTGTTCTTTCTGTTTCTCAGAATGAAGTGACTAATTGCTTGCTTTCTTTCCTTTTACATTTTAGGAACATAGAATTTGTGATGTCAAATCAGGCCATTGATCTGTTTAATCAGAAATCTTATCTCCTGCAATAGTTAATCCCTCGGGATGCAAAGGAAGCCATAGAAATAAAAAATACGCCTACTTACTTGTGCAGTGCTTAACATAAGGGGGAAAATTCTCTTCTGACTCGTGCAGATCTTTTCTCACCCTGAAGGATGAGAATTGATTGTCGTTATGTTAGCCTACATAGCTACAAACGATGTTAATACTTATGTAATTATCCAGCCCTTTATAAAATCCAACCACAGTGTTTAACTCAATGACCTTCTGTGACACTGAATTCCACAGGTTGATTATACACAGTCTGTACTAGTTTTTACTTTTGTTGGTTCTGTTCAAAGACTTTATAAATCACTCAGGTACTTTGTTCTTGAATGTATCACTTCATTTAGTGTTTCCTAGGTACTTGAAATATCTCATTATTATTTTTCTTTTTACAACTCTTTTTGGGTTTGTTATTTTCTACAGATTAGTTATTTGAGAAGTTACGTGTAGCAAGTTTCTAGTCTACCTGTTTTCTTTCACTTGAACCCAGACAGACTCTCAGCTGCCCATAGTTTCTTTAAGGTCTTCCTGTTTTATATGAACTTTACCAAGTTTTTTTCTTGCTCCTTGTCCTGTGTCCTATCCATTGAGCAATGCTGCCTCCTTAAACCATAGATATACTATTAGACTATACTATTAAAGTTTTCCACAAGTAGGGTAGGCACCCCAGAAACCTCATGGACAGTGAATATACATGATATATGTAGCATTCAAAGGGTTAATCCAGCTGCTCCGCTTTTTTCTTATCCTAAATCTTTGGCTTTCTATTTTTAGCAATTAACCATCAGAAAGTATCTACTTCACTAAATCCAGAATCCCACCACCTGCCATTTCTATGTCATTCTCATTCTTTATCGTTCACTAGTTTAGTGTCTTAACTAGGGTAGGAAATTGACATTTCTCTTGCAAAATGCTGGTTTATGAACTGGTTTTGCAAATGAGGTAATGTCCTAAATATATAAAAATTATCAAGATTGTTTTTATGCCACTACAGGAGTTGAATACTTACAAAAACATGGCAAAGATAACATAAGAGAGCAAAGTAAATACTTTTTTTAGTCTTAAACCCCTTGTACTTACATTTTATAATTAGTGCATTTTAAAACTTTTTTTTTAAGCCTGGTATAATGTTGACTGATAAAAATCTAAGAGGACAGCTGTAGGAGGAAGGCAAAACAAACAGTTGTCATAGATACCAGTGACCTCTAAAACTTTATTGTTCGCATGTAGCCCCTCCCCCTTCCCAAACAGGTTTTCAAAGAGTGTGAAATTTCAGGATGTTGTATTCTCCCCATATCTGAATGAGAGGGTGGGAGGTCTGCTTATTGATATTTTGTACTGCACTGACATCTGAAACGGACAGGGCCAAGCACAGGCATACCCCAGAGCTAAGAAGATACATGAGAATCAGACTAGGCCCTTCACCTGGGGCACTTTAAGGAATCTGATTCTAACAGGGGAATGAAAGGCATGGTGACAGAGTAATAGTGCAATTAGGAAAAAGGAGAGGAGTGGGTGTTTTAAATTAGCCACAAACAGATAAATTAATATTATTAAGAGTCTTTCACCTCCTCGCCACTTTATCATGTTTCCTTTTGGAGATATTTAAAGTAAGATGTTTGACTGAAAAAAAGTTTCAGTGAAAATATTTGCAACTCTATGGGAAAAGTTAATGTGCACTGCATAAGCAGCATCAACTAACTGCAACGCAGTCTGTGTACCACGAGAGCAGCTAGGCTGGGCAGAGATACTGGAACTACTCTACCATGGCAAAAATTTCTAACTAAAAGGAAAAGGGGAGGGAAAGCAAACCTTTGTAACTCTACTCAGCTGTATGCTTAGTTCCTGTGGGGGGAGAGTGCTTTATGTCTCTCTTGTTGCCCCCAAATCCCATTAAGGAATGGCACAGATAGACTGGGAAGAGTTTCCTCCATTTCTTCTCTGTCAGAACTATTATAGCTTACAGCACGTTGCATCAAGGTTGGGCAGTAAACTAAAGGGGAGATGGAGGGATACTTGGAGTGCCAATAAGAACATAGAGATTTCCTTGGAGAAAAAGGAAGAATAACATTGACCAGAAAATGTGTACCTTTGATAATCATTTGTCATTATTAACTTCAATTCATCTCCTGTTCATCTCCTTCGCCTCCTGCTGCTCAGAGATAGACAGCACTCAGCATTTTAAACATCTAACTCCCTAGCTATCTTCTTGGTATTTGCCTGCCAATGTTGGAGAGCATGTTTATGACCTGTATGGTGAACGTCAATTGCTTAGATCAGAAATCTACAAGACATCTAATACTTACAACTTTTCACAAACTTACCTGAACAGTCAAGTGTAACTAAAAATCTTCAGTCTTTTTTTAATAAGATTTTAAATGGTCTTTTAATACTGCAATGAGATTCCTACTTTGTACACAATGAATTTTTATTCATAATTACTTATATTGTTTCCAGTAGCTGTCTGTCAGCTGTGTGAACTTTGGAAAAAAGTCTGATTTCTAGCCCTGCAGCTCTTGGGGAGGGGGTTTAAGAGTGGGGTGATATATCTGGGGAGATGATCTGGGGAGCAGCACTTTGAATGGAGTTGAAGGAGGCAAGATGGCAGCAGCTGCAGCCAGAAATGATGAGATATGAGATGATCAGGGCCTGGACCAGAGTTTTAGCTACCACAATAAAAAAAGTCATCTAACCGTAGAAAGCTGTTATCTAATTGTTATTTGTTAGTCAGTTAATTGTTGCCTATAAAAAAAAAAAGAGTATATACAGTAGTCATTGCTGGTTTATGTTGTAATAAGATTGCATCTGGATAACATCATCTCATTCTTGTGTTGTTGTGTTCTGGGAACTTTTTCTCTTCATGTTAAAAAAAAATCATACTACTGCAAAAATATAGAGATTATTATAAATCATTTAACTATGGCAAAATTCCACTGTCCTTCTAAGAGTATTGTAAAATAAACATATTCATTCATCTTACTTGTAAAATATAACAGAAATTACCCTAAGATAGACAGATCTCTTAACAAAAACTTCTATAGCTATAGAGGGCCAAATCTAAGATTATTGCAGTTTGAGCTACTTTATTTTACCTTTTATATTTGTATATTTGTGAATTCAAAACCTGTTTTTTATTCAAGTTGACATTGATAATGATAATACTAAAAAAAAAAATTCATTGAAACTGGCAGGGTGCCATATCTTAATGCAATGTTTTTTCCCTCCACTTCTAGTTATGTGGTGAATATAGGATTGATAGACAAATTATGCTGCTGTTTCCTCTCCGTCCAAGGTCCTGTTGATGACAATTCAAAAATAGCTACTTTTCTGCAAAATGCTACAGCAGTGTTACATGGAATGTGTCAGCTCTGTTTTGCTGTCAGTGGAAGGTAAGTGTGCTTGCTATTATCATTTCTGATTTGCTCTTTCACCTTTTCTTTAAGCATCTGAAAAGCAGCAACCTTTGTGGCCACAAGTATATCCTTCTCATGTGGAACTGAACAGTCTAGGTGAAGTTCTAGAGTAGAACTGTTTTTAGTTTAACCAGGGTTGGTAAAGATGCTGGTATCAAAAGTTCACTGTGTCCACATTTTGGCTGTACAACTATATTCAGTTATCTGCAACCATCCTAATAGTAAGTAATTTATCCGAATTACAAACTTTGTCTCCTTTACTCATCATCATAGAAAATGTTTCATCACTAGTAATTTTAAGTAATCAGTCCTGAGGATTTCAATATATGTTTTCTTAGCAGCTAAACTCAACTGTTAAGTAATTTATTTCTTGTATGGTCTAATTCAGTCTTTGTACTTTAAAATTCCAATTGCAAGAAGGAAGTGATTTTTTTTTTTGTAGGTACTCATTCAGTGGAATTCATCCTGCAGGACAGTAGGGATTTTAAAGGTTCAAGATTGTACATGGACAGGATCATTTGAATAATGAATTTTACTTGTAAAATAAATAGCCACATAATAAATAAGCTAGATTTTAGGTTACACTTAAATTTTTATAAGGGAGCGATGAAAGGAGCAAATACTTGTTTTCCTTTATCATTGTAGAATATTTTTAAAACATTCTTGTTAACTAATGTTATGCAATTATTTTGTTAATAACATGGGGAAAAGTTAACCATAGCATGCAAACGTAGATAAGGAAGAAGAGAAAAAAACAACAACATTGATGCAGGGGGAACTTAATTCCTGAAAGGGAAAGGTAACATTAGTCATGAAAAACAAACATGAGTCAGTAAAACACAAAATATGGAACAAAGCTCTAGGTGGCTGTAATTTCTGATAAGTAGGAGTCCCAGGACCAAGAAAAAGGGCTGTAACTGCAAATATTATTCCATAAAGACCATCGAGACTTAATGAAATTTGTCTTCTAGTCTCTTCCTGTGGGCTGCCAAGTTGTCATTTTGCACTTTCAACACAATATTGCCAAAAGTCAAATAGATATTAAAGAATCACCCTTCTCTTAGCAAAAAAATTACTCTAGCCACAAGAGTAAGTGACATACTATTTGGAATTTCTAAAGCAGGCATATCCTTCCCCAAAAATATTAGAAAATATTGTATCTTAGAATAGTGGGAAGCTATGCGAATACCTCTTTCAGGAAAATATGTACCTTGTAGCAGGTCCAGAACATCAAGTAGATGAGATATCATAGTTTCCAAAACATCCTGTGATATGTATAAAAGATCAGCTGTTGAAAATATTAATAATCGTCTCAAATGTGTGTCTTTTTTCTGATAATTAGGTACTATGGCTTGATCTCTTACACCAGCAGTTCTCAACCAGGGGTCCGAGGGCCCTTGGGGGTCTGCGAGCAGGTTTCAGGCGATCTGCCAAGCAGGGCAAGACTCACTGAGGGCCAGGGCAGAAAGCCAAAGCCCCAGTGTCTCAAGCCCTGCCAACTGGGCCTCAAGCTGACGCCTAAGCAGCTTAGCTTCACAAGGCCCCATGTGGCGTGGGGCCCTGGGCAATTGCCCTGCTTGCTACCCCTGCTTGCTACCAGGCTGGCTTTTACATGCAGAAAAACAGTTGTGGCACATGTGGGCCGTGGAGCTTTTTTAGCATGTTAGGGGGGCTGCAGAAACAAAAAGGTTGAGAACCCCTGTCTTACACCAAAGAAATCAATGGGAATGGGTTGGGAACTTCCTACCTGAGAGACCGTCGCTGTCCTCATGTCATACCATAGGTACATCTACTCTACACTGCATGTTTTTTCGATGGTGTGTAGAGTACATACACAAGTAGCCCCTGTATAAGGGTATAAATAACAGTGTAAACAGTGAGGCAAGGCTTGGGCAAATATAATACAGACATGCTGAAGGGTGTGGATATGTACCCGAGTACATACCCTATACAGCTCTTTACTCACCCAAGCCATGCCTCCTCATCTACACTGCTGTTTTTTGCTGTGTAGTGTCCCATTGCTTCCCTGCAGCAGGAGCCTTTCCCTGCTGCAGGAAGAGTCTCTGGCAGAGGTCAGTTGGGTACTTCAGGACCATGGAGCTTTGATCCTGTATCAGATCATGGGTCACTTGACCTGTCACTGTATACAAATGCAAAAAATGCTTAACCTTTATATGAGATCTTTGTATTTAAAATTTCTCACATTCAAGTAGCAGTGCTAAATATGATACAGAATAATCATGTGAACAAGGATTATTGAAATCACATGCTAATTTTGAGCCATAACATACTGTGTGGACTAAAACCAACATAATAGTATACAGTATTCGTAATGAGATCAGTCATGGAAAGGTTCAGGTTAATATGAATTTTTTTCCAGAAAGTTTTGACTATATCCAAGCAGGTTTTTATCGTGACCATTATTATGCAACCTTATACAGCTATAACTATAGCATTCATAGGAGTAACCATTAGTACAAATTCAGGGTTTTAAAAAATTTTATTATACTTTTAATATATGGTACATAATACTTGAATATTTATTTTATATATATATTATCAATATTGGAGTCATTTTAGATTGGTTTGCACATTGTGCCAATATATACTTGTGTATGGTGTTATTTTGCAGTATAAGAACCTAAATACAATATAATAGAGTATTAGAATCATAGACTTTAAGGACAGAAGGGACCATTATGATCGTCTAGTCTGACCTCCTGCACAACGCAGGCCATAGAATCTCACCCACTCACTCCTGTAACAAACCCCTAACCTATGTCTGAGCTATTGAAGTCCTTAAATCGTGGTTTACAGACTTCAAGGTGCAGAGAGTCCTCCAGCAGGCGTCCCGTGCCCCACGCTGCAGAGGAAGGTGAAAAAACTCCAGGGCCTCTGCCAATCTGCCCTGGAGGAAAATTCCTTCCCAACCCCAAATATGGCAATCAGCTAAACCCTGAGCATGTGGGCAAGACTCACCAGCCAGACACCCAGGAAAGAATTCTCTGTACTAACTCAGATCCCACCCCATCTAACATCCCATCACAGGCCATTGGGCATATTTACCACTAATAGTCAAACATCAATTAATTGCCAAAATTAGGCTATCCCATCATACCATCCCCTCCATAAATTTATCAAGCTTAGTCTTGAAGCCAGATATGTTTTTTGCCCCCACTGCTCTCCTTGGAAGGCTGTTCCAGAACTTCACTCCTCTGATGGTTAGAAACCTTTGTCTAATTTCAAGTCTAAACTTCCTAATGGCCAGTTTATATCCATTAGTTCTTGTGTCCACACTGGTACTGAGCTTAAATAATTCCTCTCCCTCCATGGTATTTATCCCTCTGATATATTTATAGAGAGCAATCATATCTCCCCTCAGCCTTCTTTTGGTTAGGCTAAACAAGCCAAGCTCTTTGAGACTTGTTTCATAAGACAGGCTTTCCATTCCTTGGATCATCCTAGTCGCCCTTCTATGTACCTGTTCCAGTTTGAATTCATCCTTCTTAAACATGGGAGACCAGAACTGCACACAATATTCCAGGTGAGGTCTCTCCAGTGCCTTATGTAACTGTACTAACACCTCCTTATCTCTACTGGAAATACCTCGCCTGATTCATCCCAAGACCACATTAGCTTTTTCACAGCCATATCACATTGGCGGCTCATAGTCATCCTGTGATCAACCAATACTCCGAGGTCCTTCTCCTCCTCTGTTACTTCCAAGTAATACGTCCGCAGCTTGTAACCAAAATTCTTGTTATTAATCCCTAAATGCATGAACGTGCACTTTTCACTATTAAATTTCATCCTATTACTATTACTCCAGTTTACAAGGTCATTCAGATCTTCCTGTATGATATCCCGGTCCTTCTCTGTATTGGCAATGCCTCCCAGCTTTGTGTCATCTGCAAACTTTATTACCACATTCCCACTTTTTGTGCCAAGGTCAGTAATAAAAAGATTAAATAAGATTGGTCCCAAAACCGATCCCTGAGGAACTCCACTAGTAACCTCCTTCCAGCATGACAGTTTACCTTTCAGTGTGAACCGTTGTAGTCTCCCCTTTAACCAGTTCTTTATCCACCTTTCAATTTTCATGTTGATCCCCATCTTTTCCAATTTAGCTAATAGTACCCCATGTGGAACCGTATCAAATGCCTTACTGAAATCGAGATAAATTAGATCCACTGCATTTCCTTTGTCTAAAAAATCTGTTACCTTCTCAAAGAAGGAGATCAGGTTGGTTTGGCACGATCTACCTTTTGTAAAACCATGTTGGATTTTGTCCCAATTACCATTGACTTCAATGTCCTTAACTACTTTTTCCTTCAAAATTTTTTCCAAGACCTTGCATACTTTGTTACTATTGTAGAGTGGTAGCCATGTTAGTCTGTATCAGCAAAAACAACGAGGAGTCCTTGTGGCACCTTAGAGACTAACAAATTTATTTGGGCATAAGCTTTTGTGGGCTAAAACCCATTTCATCAGATGCATGGAGTGGAAAATACAGTAGGCAGGTATAAATACACCCCACTTGATGATAAAATAACTAAAATCAGCTTTTCCTTACGCTCTCAGGAGAAAATTGTGCATGTTGGAAGAGAAAGGTAGGAGTAACTTTTTTTAGGGCAAAATGCTGTCATCAGTCCACTCATCAAGTAGCCGAATGGTATTTCAGGAAGGTTTGCAGTAGTCCACAGGGTGCCAGCAGTCTCTTCCGGTTGTGGTACCCTTTAAAATACTTAAATTACCAAGGAAGCTCCAGATTCAATTGTGTATATCGTGTACCAGTGTCTGAGGCCAGGCGGGGTCTCGGAATGTAAATATGGGTTGTCGTTATGAGCTGCCTTTTGGACAGATGTTTCTTTTTCATACTCCTATTTCCATCCCAGATTTTAAAGCAATAGTTTCTTTTCCCCCCTGCTGTACTGAACAGTCCTAAATAAAATACAGCAGTTTTGTTTTCTTGGTAA